GATAAAGTCTGCGGATGCACGCTACCAGCGACCCGGAGGCGACTTTGAGGATTGCATCATAGAGCTGGAATGGGTCAGTGGCAGCAGCAGCAGTAGCAGCAGCAACAATGGCAGCATCGATGGCTCCAGGTCCGGCGATTCGGGCACCTTCACTGTGCTCAGTCCCGATGGATCTGCCACAAAGATACAATTTCCGCTCTCCGATATTACGTGTGCGCAGTGCTGCAGCGAGGCGGGATCGCCGCGTCTGGCTATCCACGCGCCCCACCTGCCCGTCAACTGCTCGCCGGTGAAGCTGCAGTTTTCCAGCGACTCGGAAATGGAGGATTGGCTCTCGCACCTGTCCTCGGTGTGCAGCCAAATCAATACGCTGATGGGCAAGCCGGCCAACAATGCGATCTGGCTGACCAGCGACTTGGGGGATGTGTTTGTGTTCGATGCGGCCACCATGAAGGCACAGCAGATGTCCAGCGGTCAGGGCTACGTGGAGACAATGGATGTGTCCACCTGCGAGACACCCTACTACAACACCCTGTACAATGGCATGCCGTGTGGCACTGAACTGGAGATCTCTGGGTGCGTGTACGATGATGCCGATCAAATACGCTTCGACCTGCAGTGCCACTCGACGGTGAAGATACAGCCGCATCGTGTGGAGAAGCATCGAGTGATTGCCCTGCATCTGAATCCACGCTTCAATGAGCGCATCACAGTGCTCAATTCCATGAAGGAGTCCGAATGGCTGGAGGAGGTATGCAACGACAAGATGGTGTTTGCTCCAGGCGCCACATTCACATTGAAAATCAGGTAAGGCTATGGCAACAATAAGCCTGCCCATCTTTGACTCTCTCCATTGTTTCAGAGCACTGCTGAACCACTACCACATCACTGTCAACAATGAGGTTTATACGGACTACAAATATCGCATTGATCCGGAGAGTGTCACTTGCCTGTACGTGAGTGGACGCATCAAACTCTTCAGCGTGCTCTATCGCTGTCCTTCGGTCATTGTGTCCATGCAGCAGATGCACTGGCGCCAAATGGGAGGCCACATCAAGCGCGTCTACAACAGCGGCGTGGACGTTGTATGGGGCATCTCGTGTGACAATACCGCATGGGTTTACAACGGCGGCTGGGGCGGCATGTTCCTGAAGGGCCTCGAGGGCTCTGGCAAGATAAACGCCATGATAGACACGCACACGTACTACGTGTATGAGAATCAGCGGTGGAATCCGATAAGTGGATTCACTGCCAAGAGCCTGCCCACGGACCGGCACACGTGGAGCGATGCCACGGGCAAGCAGAAGCGCAGCAAGGAGCACACCAAGCTGCTGTCCACGCACTGCGAATGGATCTCGGATTGGGCTATTGACTACAACATACCTGGTGGCGCTGACAAGGAGGGCTGGCAATATGCCATTGACTTTCCTGCCAACTATCATGCCCATAAGAAGCTGACGGATTGCGTGCGTCGTCGGCGTTGGATGAAGAGATGCCGCCTGAGCAGCAGTGGTCCTTGGCAGGAGCTGAGTCAGTCGAAAGTGCTCGATGCGGCACTGCACGTGCTGGACGAGGATGTGGACAGTGCGCATGACGTTAAGAATGTGCCAGTGGCCGCTTGGGCCATTGCCTCCAATGGCGATGTGCTCATTCGGCATGGAGTCAGCAGTTTGAATCCTCGCGGAGATGCCTGGGAACACATTGCCAGTGAGCAGCCACTGATAGCCATCAGCGTTGGGCCATCCGGTCAGGTGTGGACAGTGGCGCGGAACGGCATGGTGTTCTTCCGCTATGGCATAAGCAGGCAAAACCCCTGCGGCGATGCTTGGCAGCAAGTGGAGGCGCCAGCTGGTGTGACATTCAAGGCAATAAGCGTCGGACGAGCTGGAATCTGGGCTCTGGACAACCAACAGCGACTGGCTGTGCGCAGGGAGATTTCAAGGACCTTTCCAGAGGGCTCGCACTGGCAGTTTCTTCCAAATGCCGCCAACATACCGCCCCACACGGAGCAACATTGCGGCTTCCGATCAGTATCCGTGGGCACCGAGGTGTGGGCCATCTCCCTCAATGGCATCATCTGCAGGCGTTGCGGAATTACAAGCGAAAATCCCGCTGGCGTAGGCTGGAACCTGGGCATCGCAGTAAATATGATACATTTGGATACATTTTTAATTTCTATTATTTCTATTCTATTAATTCTATTTTTTTCATTACAGGGTCAGTGGCAGCATGTGTCGGTCGAGGGCTACATGTAACCAGTTGACGTTCCATGAAGTGCATTCCTATATACTATTCAGGATCTTGTATTTATGCTTGCTATATGGATTCTTATACCCTTGCAGACGGTACTATAATTTTGACAAGGGGTTCCTAATGCAAACGACGCATTTTAGACCCCTCACTAAGTATTAATGTTCTTGCCGTTAGCCAGCTCTTGAGATATTCCACACCAAACTTTACTCTCTCTTCATAGCTCAGCCGAATTGTAACCGAATCGGGCTACTATATCATATAGACACCAATGGAATATTTAATCTGCAAGGGTATCAAAAGCTTCGGTACCCGAAGCCTTGCCTACTCTCTTGTATTTCATTTATTCCCCAAATCAACCATGAAACGCTTACATTTATGTTTAACCAATTAAATATTTAAAATTGTATATTATTTTATTTATTTACCAAATATATATTCAATAAACCAAAGATAAGATCTATTTTGAAACTCTAACTATATTAATATAAATAATCAAGAATATATGTGTATCCCTGAATATTTTCCCTATTTCGATTCAAAAATTGATTGCAAATTAAAACGGTATTGTTGAAAAATGTCGACTCATGTTTTTACATCCAAATGAAGCTGCTTGACGCAAATTTGTGGTTACTCAATTGACCCAGTTTCTTATTTAAAAACCTTATTCCTACAAAATCCAATAAACGAGAGTCCATAAAACTAGCAACCATTCTAGAACATTGATGAATCTATCTGAATAAATAAAATTTTCATTCCTAAGAGTTCTGGCAAGTCAGTAATATAGAACAGAATCTCAAAATCGAGGAATATGACATCCGATCAACAATAAACTGTTAACTAATTTGATTACATACGGTTAGTTTACATACTTTCTGTATGGTTAGTGACATTTGCATGCATAATTCGGTATAATTGCGAAGTATATATTTCTGAAGGCGGTATATTTCTAGATAAATCTGCGGCCACACTAATTTCAACTAAAACAAAAATAAAATATCAAAATTTGGTTTTTCCACTGGAATTTACCGCTTTTTAAAGAAAATTGTCTCTAAATAGTTATAAATAAAAGCCCCAATGTCTGACTATGACAACGTACGCATCAAAAAACTAGTTTTAAAGGGAGAGAAGCACAAGTAAGAATCTTTTAACCTGATGCTTTGCTTTAGTGATTAACAGTTAGCATATCATTTAACAACAGAAAAAGTAAGAAGCGCAAGAAGGAAAAGGACGAAAAGGAAACTTCAAAGAAGCCAAAGGTACAGGTCGACGAAGATGCAATCGATCACGGCGGCTGGTGGGCAGCAAAGGCCGCAGTGGAGCTGACCGGAACAGTCGCTATAGAATTTGGTAATCGCTGCTACCTAAAGGCTCTGGACAATGGGTAATGTTACCGAAGCAAGAGCACTGGGCACGCTATTATAATCTACCATTTCATATTGCAGCCTGTTTACGCTGGGCGCCCCACACGGCTCTGGTGAATCGCCAGAGCCGGAGGAGATTTTCACTGCATTTCCCATCAACGAACGCAAAGTGGCCTTTAAATCGGGCTACGGAAAGTATCTTAAAATTGAAAAGGATGGAATGGTTACGGGACGCTCAGAGGCCGTTGGTAGCATGGAGCAATGGGAGCCAGTATTCGAGGTATGCAACACCCCTGAGGTGTTAAAAAGAAGGTTTTAAGCTACATCTATTTGTTATGTTCTTAGGAAAATCGAATGGCTCTGCTAGCAGAAACCGGACACTTCATGTCCATCGATCCCGAAGACGATGCATGCGTGGCGCTGCGCAAGAAGGTGGGAGAGCATGAAATTTGCAAAGTACGAAGCAATGGAGCACGGGACGTTGTCATTGATGAGGAGCCCAAAGAAGAGAAGGGCGACTTGGGTGAAGTGGAAAAGAATTATGTGTAAGTACGGCCGCCACAGAAGCGATCATTCTCAAGCTAAAGCGTACGACTTTTTTTTATTTGATTCTCAGGAAAAAGTTCCAAAAGTTTCAGGACAAAAAGATTTTGATTAGCAAAAGTAACATAAAAGAGCTCGAGGAAGCCAAGGCGCAAGGATCCCTGCATGAAACTCTTCTGGACAGACGTAGCAAAATGAAAGCCGATCGTTATTGCAAGTGAAGGCAGCTTGATTCTATGATCAGACTTCATATATTGTATACTAATGTATTTTTTTCTAAAGCTGATTGATGAGTAAGTCTGCATTTATTTGTACAAATAAATGTGTACTGTGCCTCGTATGTGATGCAAAGCTAGTTCTATAGTTGCAGGTTAATTTTTACCTTCCAGCTCACATTCATGGCTTTATATGCACCAATTTGCAGCAGGAACAAGGGCTCTCAAAGAGATTTACACGCTTCGATTAGTTAATTCTAGTTGAATTGCCAGTTGCATGTACTACGTAGGGGAAAGGAAATGTCTGGCCACCCGCTTTTCCACCCCTGTTACCGGCCCGCGTTGGCTGCCACTTGTACAACTCGCAACAGACGGCGTCACAACACACGATACAAAACATGTACCACCCGAACCACCCCCTGGGTGGTTGTTTGAACCACCCTGTGCGCTCGCTCGCGTCCTCTCTCTCTCTCTGCGCACCCCCTCACACCAGCGCTAGTGTGCGCTTCTCGCTTTCCCCGAGCAGGAAGTAAGGACAGAGCCTGAAGTCTCGTGTGGTGTCTCGTGCTCGTCCGTGCGCTCGTGGCTTTATTTTGCCTTGGCTGATGGCTTGATGTCGCGTGCCCGCCAGTTTGCTCTGGACTCTGTTCGTGGGTGAAAGTCCACTCGCCTGTCGTCGCGCTATTATCGGATTCAATCGTATCATACATCGTCTCGTAGTAGCTGGGATTTGATTCATCCATTCCATCGAGCTCTAGGCCGTTAAGAGCGCAACTCGTTCTGTTGTTTAGTGCGCCATCGAAGTGTCACTTGGGAATTGTCAAAATAGAATTTTCCGAGCAAAGGCAAATGGTACCAAGTGCACACAGGTCCTCTGAAAGGCAGTGACATCAGTAGTGTGTGTGGGTTATCTGGATTCGATTGTTTAGCTATTGTGAAGTGTGTTGCAGAAATAAGCTACTTATTCGGATCCCTATATATGTGACAAAAGTGAAGCCATCGGGGCACCACTCATTGCACTCGATTGGGTGATCTCATTCAAATTTAAGGCACTGCAATCGTTAAAACTGGCAATTGGAATCGCATAAAGTAAGCCTCGCTGTTGCTGTCTGGCCGCTCTGCTCGTATTCCTGTTCTCTTTTTGGTGGTGTTTCCAAAATTGCATGCAACATGGGGTGTTTTTTCCCTGTGGCGGGGACAGGTATGGGATAATCAATTCGAAGTAAACTAGAATCAGAAAGGAAACGCAACTGCAGCAGAACGACAAGGAACATATTCTAAAAGAATCTAATTCTTCCTGGCATTCAGAATTGATTCATCATCTTTGGGATACATATATTTATGTAAGTATGCGAACATTTTGAACTGCTGTTTGATGTAGGATCTGTTATCTTATTGAAAAGCCTCTCCCCTGCATTCTCTGAACCATGAATATGCAATTGCATTGGCAGCTTTTTTCCTTTTGTTGGGGGTCTCCGTATTATTGTCAAGCACACAAGCGTTCGATGGAAGGCCAGATGATAGTATGGAACGGAAAAACTGACAATGGAAATCCATCAGATTTAATTTATTTCCACAGCATCTGTGGACTGTTTCAAACGTTTTGTTCTCTTTGACAATTAAAGTTGGTTTTTTTCAGGCAACATGAAAAATTAAATTATGAATAGCTTGATAAATAAGTGGGACGACGACAGTTCTGTACCTTGTATCCCCCAGTCATTATTTTATACGTACCCCCCCAAGGAAAATTTCTGCTAGCAACTTGACTTTTTAATAAACGAGTAAGAGAGAGCAGCGCGATTAACTTCTCTTTAGCGGATGCTTGTCTGCAAAATTAAAGAAAGTCATCTCGGAAACGGCGGATAATTGGAGTTTACTCGCAGCCAAGGACTTTTGAAGTATTTTTGAGTTGTAAGGGGTTCGAGCTCCCCACCTAAGTGGGGATACACACACACACAGACACACACACACACACTCTGCGTACCGAAAAGTATTTGAAACAGTGTTTAAGCTCGACATAGCTTTTCCGCGGTTTGCAAACTATTAAAAAGTGAGCAACATTCCTGGTGTACGTCCACCCAAGCGAACCGCCTGGCAAGGAGCAGGGAGTGGAGTGTATGGGGTGTGTGTGGTGTTGGTCGGGATGATTATCCCAAGTTTTGCCACTATGCCCTGCTCCCCGAGGTCTGGTCCGTGCTCTTCCACTGGTAGGAGTATTCCAAAAGCCACAGAGCTGCTATGGGGAAAATCTTTTAATTAATTTTAAACTAATTTTCTTAAAAGCTAAGCGAAATGACCTTTCGGAGAACTACCAGAAGTGCAATCGTCGTCCAAGCAGTTGAAAGAAATGCAGGCCTTCAATTGTGCTCAAGTGGCAACACAATTAAATTTAAATATTTTCACACTGAAACTTGAGACGGAAACACTTCGTGATGAAGGATTTTCCTGTGTTAGGTATACTACATTTGCACGCTTCGAGTGCATTTCAGTTCGAGATCTTTGCTTTGGCTACTTTAAATCAAAACTTGCGTAGCATGCAGACGGAGGCATGCTCCAGTCTCCTTTCAGTTCATTCCAGTGGCTTGCATGGGGATTAGCAATTTGTTAAGCCAACAATTTACTTAGTTCCGTAGGGCTTCACTTTGGTAAGTTGTTTGCATTTCGCAAGGGAATTGCTGTTCATTTTCAGCACTGAATGCAGAGGCAAGGATATCCGATGACCAGGCTGAATGGCATGGCATGCCAGACGCATTGCACGGCTTCTCCGTCATGTCATTCCCTCTGTTTAATTGCAATTATACCCAGTACACAGCAACGAGCAAAGAGGGTATATGGAATTTACAAAGATGAATGAAACGGGCAGAAGTCCATGTTATTCACCTGATCATCTTCGAAGCTTGCAGAAGCTAAAGCAATAAAGTTTTGCTTGGCCATCAACATTCATTCTTTACTTGGAGGAAAAAAAGAGAAATCCACGCTGCTGCACTTTTACCGTAGATTTCGTGACCTACCGTACCCATGCATATGCATCATATGTGTATGTGTGTATGTATGTATGCATCAGTCGTGCATATGCACTGTGCTTTTGTTCCGCCACAAACTCTCGCTCTCGCGTTTATCTGTGAGCGAGGGAGATGGTGAGATATAAGACATGCATAAACATGTCCGACTTCAAAGCAAAGTTTCGAGACTCAAACGCATGCATGGCTTCACTCTATTTGAAGCTTTATCAGATCTCTCTCTCGGTTCTCATTCAAAGAGGGCCTAAAGCTGGAGTCTAACAAGACGTGTTCCCAAATATTTTGTTCTTGCTAAAATATCATCAGTGCAATCAATCGTTTCGTTAATCATGTATTAAAGCTGTGAAAACATATCATAACTGGAACAGTGATGGATTTATTTATTAATAAATGTTTCATTGGTAGTCCAACGATATTAATCAAACTCGCATATGCGAAAGGCAAAGTAAGTGATTTATAGAGAAATTAAGACATGACACGAAGATCGATGGTTCTGTTGGCAGACAGACAATAAGTGATTTGTTTTTGATTAGCAAGTAATAGCAAGATGATTCAAGCAGCTTCTGATTTCACAGATAATTCTGAAATTAAATTAATATATTTCTGTTATCTAATTCACAAAATATATTCCATTCGCATAAGAAATACTCTCAGAAAAACTGCAAAAACAAAGGAACTTTTCTTTCGCAGCAGCATGGTATTTAATTCCAAATTGGATTGCTGCTTGAATAAAGGATGATACCCGAGGAGCGTTTATCCTATAATCTTCTTTGCATTTCATTTTCGCATACGGAAAAATGTGCGTAATTAAACTGAAGCCGGATTCAGGGTTTCATTTTGCAATTTATGCGACAATGTAATCCGGCGGAAAGCGATTATACGACTGTACTGTGCGAGTGTGAAGAGTGTGTAGTGGGCGGGGGGCATACTTATGTACGAGTATTTCCGTCTCTGTCAACAAAACAAACACACAACACAAATCTATGCTCCTGTGAATGCTTGCACCTCCAAATAATGAAAATAATCAAGGCAAAGGCAAAGGAAACAGGAACAGGAACAGGCACAATTAGACGGAGAGGCACTCAGTCTCAGTCTCAGTTCACTCCTTGACTTGCCGTCAACTCGGTAGGGAGGAAGGGAGTGTGTCACCTTTGGGGTTCAACAAACATGGGGATTCCCACTCTGCGACTCAGCAAAATACTTCCTAATAAAAAAATGCAAATTTAATTTACTTTCGGTTTGCTGTTGGCTCGTGGCAAACATAAATCGAAGTCAACGTGGTGCTCCAACACTTTCTCACTCCCCTGCCCTCTCCCATTTTTCCACTCAGCCACGCAACTCCTGGGGATGCCCATGCCTCCACTTATTAGACTTCCGCTTCCTGGATGTGGATGGAGAGGTTCTCTATTGCGTGTCATAAGCCTCTCTCCCTCGCTGCCGCCTACTCCCCCAAAAACAATTTTCTCATAAACAATTTTCCCTACGAACCTGGGGAGCAGTAAGATTGGATTCCATGGTGTGCATGAGGTGTGTGTCTGTGTGTGCGTGTGCGTGTGCGTGTGGAGGCGCCACACTTTGGTCTACATCTGATGTATCTGTCCGCAGAACGGAAGCGCGTGATGCTGCACGTAATGAGAACAATTTTTATTCAAATTAGATCCATTGCCGGCCGCTTGGCACAATTATGGCCGACCACCAACACAGCTGGGTAACAGGGAACAGGGAACTGGGAACTGGGTTTCTGGTCCATTGGTTGGTCCATGCCTCTGGCTCTTTACTGCGCAGCAAAAGTAATGACCAGCTTCTGGCTGATTACATTTCCACGTAACGTGGCACCGCACCTATTAATCGGGGAAACTTTCAAAATTTGTTGATTTAATCTGTCCTTTCCTTTGATTAGAGAGTTCTTTTAAGGAGCAGCGAATATTCACGCTAAAAATACAAAGAACTTAAAGATAATTCAAGATTCTGGCTCACCAAAACATCCCGATTACTCCAGTTCTGGTTCTTGTTCTAAACAGAGTTGGTTTCAGCCCACGCTCATTATCGTAATGGACGAACGCTCTGGTGGAGGATTGGCAGGGGTGGGATGGGATGGCAAATGGCGAATGCGCATTCCATTAATCATCCCGAGCAGCCCAGCTACGCGGTCCCTGCTGAAACCCAACCACAAAATCAACAGCAAATGAAGCGAACGAAAAGGCGAAAATATAGCAGCCGCTTACAATTTCAATCTCACAGCATTATTCAAAACAGCACTGAAGCCGTTATCGGGTATTAATTTCAAAAATCCCCAAAATGAATGGCACGATTTGCGGTTGTTAAGTGCGTAGATTCGTGAAAAGATACTCTGAATGTTTAGTGTAGAATTTCGTGAATTTAAACCCTCATTGTCATAGCGTTTTGTGTTTACCTCCGACAGAATTATGTTTGCAGAAATATTTCTATTTGACACGAACTATGTTTGTGTGTGTTCCCACGATAGTAATTATTATTATTTACTCAGCATTTGGTTTGTGGAAATCTCACATTTTGGTCACGAAACATGTCGGCCAAACCAGAAATCAATCAAAACGAATGGCAGCAACTTATTGTGGGTATAACATCGAAATTCTTCTCCGAAAAAAGCTAACAAGTATTTGTGTCGACTCATTATATTTTGGGGATAACATCCTTTGGGCGTGCTGTCTGCTGTCGATTAATGGATTCCTTTCGCTTGGCGGCACTGGCGCCTCAAAGGCTGCCTGCCATAAAAACTGACAAATCAAGCTCCAGCTGTTCCAGCGTCAACGACAGCAAATATAAGGATGCGAACGAGGAGGCGACTTGTGGCATTTTGCGCAGCGCAAAAGAGAAAAAAGGGAGACTCTCCAGACCAGAGCCGGAGATTGCAGGACTCTATGGAAGCGTTATGCAAATATGTATGAATATTGTGTCCCAGCCGATAAGGGGCAGAACCCAGCGCCAACTTCTATCTTGAAGCGCCGCTGGCTACTGTCTGGGCTTCCTTCAATCGGAAATCATCTCGGGGAGTTTTTATTTCGGTGACCCTCATATTCGTATACGCAATTTGTATTTTCGTTTTTCTTTTCTGCTGATTTACAGATTTGTTGTCGCAGCCCTTCCCACGATATGTGGGGGCGGAATTATCTATTTAGGCCAAAACTAAATTGACTCCAATTCATTTTCATGCAGCGCAAAAGTTTGGCATTCCACACAGTTTTTATGAGGGGCATCCGGCACGTGCAGGCTCGTAATTTGATTGGATTATGTTTAGTTGACTCAATTGAAACACTCGCGCCAGTTGGTAAATTATGAATAGA